GCTGAGCCACTGTGTGTGCGTGAGCTGGGCCGCCGGCCCCGCAGCGGGTGCGTGTCTCCGCAGAAGCAGTCGGGCTCCTCCGCCCGTCGTTCGCTGCCGCCTTCCCAGCGGCGAGTTCCCCGTCCGTTGGTGGGGCCGAGGGGCCGCAGCTCTAATGGGTCAGGCTTTATGCTTTGGTTGTTATTGGGGTTTTGCCCAAAGAGTGGTACAGGTGAAAGACATGAAATCCGTTTACTTACCGTTCCTGAAAGCTTCTGTCACTGCGGGCTCCTTCAAGGGAAAGCTTGCTTGGGAAGTACTCTCTTCATTCCTGTTCAGGCACCCCCTTTGGCACCCCAACACAGATGTCCCCATCTAACCGCAGCGAGGAGGCAGTAGGGTAGCAACTGAGGAAGAAACGTTACTGTGGTGCTCAGGGGTTGATTTTTTTTTTGGGGGGGGGGAAGGTGTGAAGTTCAGAACAGGGGCAGAACCAGCGCAGGCACTGCTCTGCCTCCTGAGGAGGATTCAGTTGATAACTAGAAATTCTCCTCCAGAGCTGTCAAAACATTCTTGTGTGTGCCTGACTTAACATCTACCATGACCCAAAGTATTTGTTATTACTGTGGGGTGTTTGCTGGTGGTGGTGAAGTTTGTAGGTTTTGCCATGTTTTTTAAGAGGTGTTTGAATTGCCTTGTTCAAGTATGGGTTAAAATGTAAACTGTGACTGTAACAGAACAATAATAACAACAGACTCTGATTTGAGTTGATGATTCAACATGCAGTTCTCTCTCCTTTTTCATGACTGGAACATTTGCAATGAAAACTCTTCTAAAAGTTCATTCTCCAAGAGGAAAATGTGTTTTAGCAAGGATGCACTCATGCACTGGAAGGGGTCCCAGTGCTGTCATAGAAATTTTTAAGTTTAGAAATTATCATAACAGAGAGCAGAACCAGCATTGTGTGACTGGGGCATCCATTGTATTTTGCAAATATTAACAAACTGTAATTTCTGCAGGTAGCTTTTTGGTTTAAATCTTGATGCTTTAGGAAGAAAAATCTGATTACTGTTTAAGACTTAACACAGAGTTATTGCTGAGGAAGTTCTGCAACCTACCAACCATTATGCAGGTGCTGTTGGTCCTTAATACTACCTGGGTTTTGAACTCTGCATATGTTCACATTTATTCCTTGAAATTGAGTCTGTACCAGCTTGGGATACCTATATACTAGAATACTAGCATATTACTCCTCCCCCCCCTCCCCTTTTTTCTTGTTAAATATGCTTGTATTTTCCTGTGTCTCCAAGCTGGAGTCCACGCAAACAAGAGAAACTGAGGAATTCGTTCCACACGACTTGCTGTAGTGCACACAGGAAGCAAGAAAAGAGGCGGTGGGGAGACTTGTGTTTCTCTAGTCTTTATTATTGTTGTGCTTAAATATGCAGGTCTTGTTTTCTAGGATTTGTACATTTTCCTTCACACTGGGCAAAATGTAAATTGTCAAAGGTTTTATCCTGAGGTTTATCCTCAGGCCACTGCAGTCAGAAGTGTCAACTTGTGTTGCTCGCTGTGTGCCAGGGAAAGGAGTGTGGCTAATCCAATGGTCACATCTGGGGGCATCTCAGTTGTTTTAAGATGCCTGTAAGCCTGGAGGTTAAAATGAACATCCCTGTTTTTATAGCGGATTGCCTTTTCTCATGTGGTAGAATTATACCACAAGCAGTTGAAGAGTGAGTGAAGGCTTATTGTCATGAGAGGCGAGAAAGGGAAAATGTGTAAGTAGGGTGTTGAAGTTTCTTATTTTTTTCCAGGAATAAATTTAAGGAACTTTTAAATTCTGTCTTTGCTCTACTTCTCAGATTTTGAAGCAAGTTTTATTCGTCTGATTGACAAAGTGACCAATGGCTCTCGGATTGAAATAAACCAAACAGGTGAGATCTGTTTTCTCTTCTTCCTCTGTTCTGGTCTTCTGGCCTCTTACCAGTTGCTGCAGTGAAATCAGAGTTTTGGCTTGACAGAGGTAGGTGTTCAGATAGTGTTGACTGAGAAGACCAGAAATAACGAAGCTGAGAAGTTTTGTAGTGATTGATTGCGTGCAGTCTGCTGTAGTGCAGAGAGCTAAGGAATCTGTGTTGCTCAAGAATTAGAATTGGCATTTTGTTTCATATGCAGGTTCAGAGGAGGTCCCTCTGAACCATAAAGGATTTTTGCAGAAGGCAAGGTTTGCCTTCTGCAAAGGCAAACTTCTGAGCAAAACAGCTTGCCTAGTCATGCGCAGAAAAGGGGTTGGTTTGAGTGAGAAGCATCTTGCATAAAAATCTCATCTGGTTCTTGTCCTTTTTTTTTAAAAAAAAAAAAAAGTATTATGGTTGTTCAGTAAAGCAGATGAACTACCACCAGATATGCCAAGACAGTGATGACCTGGTGGTCTGGTGAAGATTTTAGCTGCTGTGGAGCTTAACAGCTTGTTGCAGCATTTTAGGGATTGCTGAGAGATCCTTGGTTTTTGGGGAGGAGAGGAAAGGAAAAATGGTGTGCAAGACAGAGACACTCTGTGCATTGGCCCATTTATTAACTGCAGAAAAAGAAACACTGTGCTGAAAGTGTTACCTTCGTCATAAATTCTCCTGTCTCCAGCTTGCCTGCACACATTGTTGCAAAGTATCTTCATGCTGTAGTAGTGACCAGTGCACTGACAGTGTTCTGATTTGGCTTGCTCCACTGGCACCTTCCCCAGGTACTACCTTGTATTATCAGCCTGGACTTCTGTACGGGGGCTCATTGGAACATGACTGCAGCCCCAGTCGCAGTATTGGCTACTATTTGGAAAGTCTGCTCTGCTTGGCACCGTTCATGAAGCATCCGTTGAAGATTATCCTGAGGGGAGTAACAAATGACCAAGTTGATCCTTCAGTAAGTAATAAAATCTAAGTACCAGAGGAGTCTCTAAAACATGTTGCATTTTCATCATCTCTCACATCCAGAAGTATCCAGTGTTACCGCGTCTGCCAGCAAACTCTCTGAATTAAACAAGCATCTCCTAAACTATTTCCTTTCACACTCCAAACTGCAGTTTTTAATCCACCTTTTGACTTTCAATTCTGTACTGCTTCTGTCTTCTCCCTTGGAAATTCGCTTTAAATGTGATGTGAGGCCCTGCCACTGGTTTGCTTCTCCTGTTCTCTTTGAAATTAGGTGGGTTATTTTTCCCACCTCACACATGTATTTACTGTAAAAGGAGGAAATTGTCTTTAAAATTTGAGTGTGGCAAGGAAGGAATCTTTCTCTTAAGTACACTAGTAATTACACTAGTACTGCTGTGAAGCCTTCTTTCTGTTAGAAACAGAGGTGACGTGGATAATGTGGGATTAAAACACTGAAATAATGGTTAGTGGTTATGCTTCCCCCCCTGCAAAAGAAAGCCCAAACGTAATGGCTTTTGAGGAACAGCACTGCTCTTTACCTTTCAAATGGTGATTGGAGATTGCCTGTTTTCCTCTGAGTAGATTAAGGAACCATTGTCATCTGAAAATTTAACCAGTTTAAATGAATACAAATACTATTAAGTATAATTGCAGATATAAGACAAGACTCTGAGTCCTGCTGGTATTTATGGCTTTTCAGCTGTGCTTCTCCTGTAATTTAAAAAACTTGTTCTCTCACCTGTGGCTCTTTTGAGACATCTGCGTGATCCAAAGGATGACTGAAGTGGGTTATATACTACACCATCAAAAAAAAAGGGGGGAAAAACAATAAGAGAGAGGAAGGCGGGGGGGGGGGGGGGAAGAAAAAAAAAAGGTAAAATTGAAAGCATGTTTTGCTAACCTTTCAGTCACCATGATTAGAAGTACTTAATAGAAATGGTGAGTAGAATCAAAGAAGGCTCTTTTGGTTGACTGCATCTATATGGAGATGAAGAGCAGTCCAGTCTTAATGTTGTTTTCAAGTGTTTGGACAGTCATCTAAGCAGTTGAGCTTGGATTTCTTGATTCTGGAAATTACCCATTTTCAGGCATTAGTCACATAGGCCAACAGAGATTAAACAGTTTTAGATTAAACAGGTGCAAGAATTTGAGCCAGTTAGTTTGTGCTTGAAGGGGGGGGGGAGGGAGGGGGCTTGCACTGGCTGAAGCTCAGACATGGAAGAACGTTGTCATACATCAGCTGAATCACAGTACCTGACACTAAGTGTAAATAAAATGCAGATGTGGATGCTAAGGAGTTATATCTTAAGTTCATTGTGCTGTAGAAGCACAACTGTAGTTACTGTGACTCAGCTCATGTGTAGTAACTTTTAAAGTGGTGACAACTGAATACTGATTCTTAAAACTGTTTTAGACCTGATTTATGTCTGTTTAACGTGCCTGAGTAAGCATTAAACCTTGTGCACCAATAAACTACTTAGAGGAGTTTTACAAGATTTTTTGTATATCATATGGCTCTGCAAGTTGCTGAGACTAAAAGCACAAGTTTAAGTGCTACCTTAAGTGATTTATGTGCTTAAGTAAATAGACACTTGGTTTTAAATTGATTTGGACTTTTATTTTTTTAGTAGATGTTTAGAAACTGGGTGCCTATGCTTGCACAAAAAGGGATGCTTAAATTTGTCTATCCATTTGTACACTTTCTGGCTTTCCAAGGAGAAGAGGGAAAGGCAAATCAATGTAGATACCTTCTGAGTAGTTTAAAATGGGCAAGGAGTTTTCCCTGCTGCTCTTCATATAAGACCCTCTCCGTCTTAACTTAGTAGGTACAGTAACAAGACACCAGCTCATTGTCTTTGTAGAATTTTTATTATTTTTATTTGTAAAAGAGATACCATGTTTTGTAAACATGTGTCTTTATTTTGGAGCTAGGTGAACTCTGAGGGATATATCCTTGCATGAGTCTGTTCAGCATCTGTTGCCTGCAGATAAATTTACGTATTCACCTATGTGTGCGTGAAAATATATATGTACATACACACATATGATCCTATAGCACCCCTTTTGTGCTTGAAAGGGGAAGGTAATCCTGCCCATCCTTCCCTCCATATCTCCTGCTTTCAGCCGCACAGTCCTGCATACGCCAATACCCTGGGCAATTTTCAGAGCCTTCCCTAAGCCAGTTCAACTAACTGGCAAAATATCAGAGAGCTGTACCCATGTATTTTCTCATGGAGGCATCCAGGAGGTAAGTACCAAGAACGTGTGTTCAGCCAGAGAAGTGGGACCTTTCCCTCCTGGTAGCAGTGAGCAGGTAGGCTGACCCAGTGGGCTTTCTTTCAGCACTGAGATCTCAGCTTTTACACAGCCCCAAACATATCTGTTGGGTGTGATTGCTGTGTTCTGGGTTTGAGGTTGCTCTTTGCCAGAGACCCCCTTGGCTGATCTCCAGCTGTGGGGAGAGTGGAAGTGGTCAAGGCAAGAGGAAGGGTCTTTCTAGAGGACAGCTTGTAAAAGGAAAGACTTCGTCTGAGTTCATTGAGGTACAGGTCAGGCCGAGTTCCTGGAGTGTAAATATTGCGTTTTTATGTTAGCATTTGTTTATATACATGAACAGCCCTCCAGTGGGGTGCAAGGGAAAGCTCTGACAGCTGGTGCCATTCCAGAAGAGTACTGTGGCCACTGTGATACAGGGTAATGTGCACTTGCTCCATGTTCGACTGTGGTGATAATAGCGTGAGTAATAGATCCTAAGTAACCATGTGCTGTAGGGTCTGTGTCTGGTTTTTTTGCAGCTTTGCTCTAGCTAAGGGATTCTGCAAAACACTACAAGTTACTTTTTTGTTTGTTTGCTTTCATAACTGTAGATTTCTTTAAAAGAAGAAGGTTTGTTTTCACACTAGTTTGTGATGAAGCAAAGTCTATGGGACTTAGCAAGCTGTGTTGTCATTTGTGGTGAGGTATGCCCTTGGCTGTATGATGCATTGCGTTAACTTGGATACAACTTGGTGTTGAGTTGTCTGCTCTGGAGATGGAATAACTGCCCTTTAAGGGAAGCTGAAGGATGGGTCTATGGCTGAATATAGGCAAGAGACTAGAAATATGGGTTTAGCTCACAGTTCTGCTACCATCTTGTGATTTCAAGTGAAGTATTAACCTCTTCTCACTAAACTCCTACTTGTCTGCTAAGCACAACAGCCTTTTCCACTTCTTCAAATACTATTGATTACCTTCTCTGTTTAGGCTGCAAATTTGGAACAGAGACAGTCTCTTATTATGTGTCTGTCTGGTACCTGGTAACTGTCATGCCTGGAATTTGTCTGAGGACTAAAAACTTTGACAAGTCTTGAGATTTTTGGAAACAGACAAACCAGACTCAAAATAGATCCAACTTCCTAATGCTGCTACAATGTTTTCTCCAGAGATACAGACTTCAGTCTAGAATTGTAAAAATGGAAATGAAGGAGGGAAAGGGAGTTCCTAACCTACACAGTGAACACTGTGAACCTTTTTTTTTTTTTTTCTTTTTTTTTTTTTTAACTGGTGTCTTTTGTTTCCTAAGAAAGAGGGAGAAACATTGCCTACATTTAAGGTGAACCAGATGAGCTTGTTGGAACTTCTGCCAGTGGTATTCATGTGCATCTGTGTGTGTACTCTGAAAGTCAAATTTGTGTGTTTAATCAATACTACTGAAGGGCTGAATTAAGGTAGCCTGTCCGTAAAAAAAATTAAAATATATAAAAATAAAAAATTAATAATTGATTTGCAGTTCTTTTAATTAAGGCATTCAAATATTGATACTACCATTAAAAACAACACCATATGCTTCTCTTTAAGAAAGGAAGTATGTTGGCCAGCAGGATTTGAAGAATGAGAACTGCAGCATAGACTTGTAGCTACTCAGGTAGCTCTTAGCAGGTTTTTCACAGCATTGTAGGTGAGGTATGTGCTACTGCTTCATCAGTGGCTTGCACTGTCTGCAAAGCAGAGAGAATGAAACTCAAGAATTGTGGATTCTGGCTGAAGCCATGGGAAGGAGAGTGCTTTTTTTTCTGCCTCCTCAGCTGCTGTCTACTGCATGCCTGTTTCCTTCATCTGAATTTAATTCCTCTTTGGCCACGTTGTTCTGGTCCTAACTCTCCAAAGCTGCTTGTTTTGGGTAACTCCCTGTGCTGTTGCACCACTGAATAATTTTTGTCGCCTTTATCGACGCCACTGAAGTTTCAGCAGAGGGAAGATGACGACAGTCACTGTTGTCTTAGGTCAGCAATTAGGAGGAGCAGTGGCAAGGAAAGTCCTGTTCAGACCTGGATCCAGTGAGAGTCTTGCTCAAAGGGAGTACATGGATGATGTGTCACCCAGTTCAGATTCTTATAAGTATTTCAGCAGAAGTTACCTAGAAGCTTCTGTTTCTCAGAAATAGATGAAAATAAGTTCTTGATGAAAGGATGAAGTTCTTCCTGCCAAATCAAGGGCCTGCTCCAAAATGCAAAGGTTCTTGCATCATTTCTTTAGCTGTAGGAATTTTTCTGCAAGTTAGCTGTTTTAGCTGAACCATAATAGAAGTAAAAATCAGGCTGAGGAAGAAATCTAGAACAGGAAATTCCATCTCCTGGTAATTTGTTCTAGCAATTTTTTTGAGTCATGAGATACTCTGGTAGTCTAAGAGTAGCCAAAGCTCTCTATGCTGCATTCTCATGTCTATACATAGAATACCTAGTATGGAGAAGCCTTGTCTTTGTTAGGCACCTTGCAATGCAATGATTTTTAAATTACTGACTTCTATAACTTCTGATAGAGTCTCTTTTTTAATTCTATAGGTTGATGTCCTTAAGGCAACAGCTCTACCCCTTCTGAAGAAGTTTGGAATTGATGGTGAAAGTCTGGAAATAAAGGTAAGACAATTTGTTCCTTTCTTTTCTTGCACTTGTTGAATTTATACTTTTGCATTACTTCACAAGGCCATGTGCTTGCTGCTGGTATCTGTCTCCAGCAGATACCTGGTTGTAGCTACACACATTTTTAAAATTGTCTCTTACTCTTGGCCTGTTTTAAATAGTACACCAGCCACACGGTGATTGAAGATGTGGCAGAAGAGAGATGCAAATGCTACGGGTAGAGAAAGTAAGGAGAGAGAAGTGACTTTTCTTAGTCTACGAGATCTTTACAAGCTAAGAAACCTAAAGCAAACATGGGAGTTATTGAGGTTTGCTTCCAGCTTGGAAAATACAGAAAATAAACTTTTATGTGAAGACTACACTCTTCACAGGCCCAATAAGTCTGGATGTAGAATAGGTTTTTTTAGGTTGGAGGAAGAAGCTGTAGCCTTTCAAAGTTAAGAACACTCATTTAAAATGTGTGAAGGCCATATCTGCCCTACTAGCCTTTGCTTGCTCTGCCAAGCCCCTACCAGGTGCCTCCCCCTACCCTGTCCATGGCCCAGGACCCCATATCATCCCCCTGGGACCATCAGCCCTCACTCCAGTGGTCCTGCAGCAGGGCCGGTCTCCAGCCTCCCACAGCTCTGCCCTGTCTGGCCATGGGCCCCCTTGTCAAGACCCACTCATGGGCCACATGGGTCACATCCCCATCCTTGTGGATGTTGGCTGTGGCAGTGGGACAGGCTTGGGCCGGCCAAGCCT